ATACATTTTGTGCCCCCCCCCCCCCCTAGCTCTTGCAATGCCCAATGCCCGCCCTGCCCACCTATAACCGTTACCATTCTGCATTACTGTAAAGAGGTATAGAGCACTACAACTTCCAGCAATACTCTCTACAAAAATGCAGAATGGTAACAGATTTAGAGAACTACAACTCCCAGCAATACTCTCTAAAGAAATGCAGAATGGTAATGGATATAGAGAACTACTACTCCCAGCAATACTCTCTACAGAAATGCAGAATGGTAACGGCTATAGGGGACTACAACTCCCAGCAATACTCACAACAAAAATGCTGAAAAGTAATCGCTATCAGGCACTACAGCTTCCAGCAATACTCTCTACAGAAATGCAGAAAAGTAACGGCTATAGGGGACTATAACTTCCAGCAATACTCTCTAAAGAAATGCAGAATGGTAACGAATATAGAGAAGAGAACTACAACTCCCAGCAATACTCTCTACAGAAACGCAGAATAGTAACGACTATAGGGGACTACTACTCCCAGCAATACTCTCTACAGAAACGCAGAATAGTAACAGCTATAGGAGACTACAACTTCCAGCAATACCTTCTACAGAAACAAAGAATAATTCCATCAGTTATAGAGGTCTACAAAACATGTCATAGAACTTACAGAAGATAAAAGCTTCACCTCACCTCCTCTGCGGCGGGAACACCATGTAGCTGAGAGAGGCGGCGAGCTGTGTAATCAGGAAGCTGCTTGCTGGGTCCTCCCAGCTGAGGCCCCAGCGCTGCCTCGGGGTTTGCTTGTAGGCTGCTCTGCCTCACTGCCGTGCGGCCGTTTGGAGGTGCGGCCAAACGGACGGTTGGCAGCCGGCCCCTCACCATCTTTTGTCCTACCTTGCCTGGGTCAGTTCCACCCCTGAATACTGGTACATATCCAATGGTGTCTTACAATGTGGGATAGAAAGAGAATGGACAGTGTTTTTGCTGTAGTTAACTTAGTCTTGAAGGACAACATGTGTAATTTCAGTCCACAGTAGAAACATAGGCCCAAGGACTGTCTTTTCTGTTTTTCTACTTCTGTCAAGTGGCGACGATTGACTTCCATAGGCTTTACCGGTTCTAAGGGTTTAACATAAGTCTCAGGTTAAGGCTCAGGGGGGTTTTGAAAACAAGGTGCCAAATTAATATAGAGGACGAGGTAGTTTTAGACTCCATGCCACCGGCAGGACGAGGGGGGAAACTGCCGCCGCTTCAGCATCGGTGATAATCCGTTCAGTTCTCCCTTTCTTCTCTTCTCCTCAGCCGCTCTGTAGCTGCAGCGGCTGAGGAGGAGGGAGAATCAGTTCCGCTGTCTGCCCATCACTCCGACTCCTCTGGCCACCTGCATCTTCCTCCACCCACATTAGCTGCCATAGGCTGGGAGGAAGACTGCAGAGCTACAATTGACCGGCTGGCAGGACAGCACAGGACCTGAAGGGAGGCTTCACGTCGGGCATAAAGGAAGAGGGCACCTGAATCACATCACCTATGTGCACTGTAAGTCCCTGTGTTTTCTGCCTTAAACCGCTGACCTCTGTACTGTGTGTTATATTGCTAACCTTTGTACTGCTGACCTCTGTATTGTGCATTACATTACTGACTTCTGAACTCTGTACTGCTGACCTCTGTACTGTAGGTTACATTACTGACTTCTGTACTGCTGACCTCTGTACTCTGCATTATATTACTGACCTCTGTACTGTTGACCTCTGTACTGTATGTTATATTACTGACCTCTGTACTGCTGACCTCTGTTCTGTGCATTACATTACTTACCTCTGCACTGTGCATTACAATTCTGACCTCTGTACTGCTGACCTGTGTACTATGCATTGTACTGCTGACCTCTGAAGTGTGCATCATACTGCTGACCTGTGTACTGTGCATCATACTGCTGACGTCTGTACTGTGCGTTACATTACTGACCTCTGTACTGTGCATCATACTGCTGACCTCTGTACTGTGCATCATACCAGTGACTTCTGTACTGTGCATCACACCACTGGCCTCTGTACTGTATGTTGTTACTGATCTACATGATGCTGCTGACTTGGCGGAGTTAATGCTGGGGCATGGTAGGGGTTAGGTGGGACAACTGGTGGTGAGTAACTTTTTTTTTTTTTACTTTTCAAAGTATTTTATTGGTTTTTAACAATTTTCCAAAAGAAACGTAACATCAAACATAAATGTTCATACATACATACATTAATAGCTTATGCGCAAACAGTGAAGTTGTTGCATAAAACGGAGCTAACAATCTCGAGACGGCCACTGAAGAAACTAGTGGGTAGGTGTGTAGAGATTCACATATGGCATCTTTAAGTGAGTAACTTTTAAGGCCTGGCTAGTAGCTCTGGACTTGAAATGTTTAGACCTGTTATATGGAGTTATACTTCACAGAGTTCTGGCCCCAAGGAGTTGGCAAAATTATTCAAGCACTTTCTTCAAGCTTGGCTCCAGTGTGAAAGGTGGTAAACAATAATGTACAAGACCTAATTTGATATTTGTGGAGGAGATAGCCCTGAGGAAGAGGTGGAAGTGGGAGAGCAGAAAAGTCCTGTAAGAGGTAGTAGGTTGTCAAGGAGCAGGGGATTTCAGAGCATGAAGCATACATCAAAAGTAATCTGGTGGTCCAGGCGCTCAGGCACAGCAGCAGGTTGATGTTACCTCTGCCACCCTTTTCAGTGTTTCCTCCTGTTTCCTCAGTTGCTGCATCTCCCCTCACTACTCCACATTCCCCTGGGGCCTTGGTAAGTATTTCTGGTGCATTCAATAAGAGAGAGGAAAGGTCTGCTAATGGGTGCAGAAGTCTGTCATTTAGGGAGACAGACAGAAGACTGTGAAGCAAAGACTGGAATCTCAGACCTTACCAGCACCCACCCACCATCTCTAGAAGCAACCTTATCCACTAGGTTTCTCTTCCCCAGTAATTGGAGTGGGAAAAAAACATCTCCTGCCTTGTGGATACCTAGCTACCTTTTTTTTTTTTTAGAAGGCTTTCCATGACCTCTATAATCACGTGTAGTAAAAGGTGCCCTTGTGACTGGACCAAGCTGTCAGCAGCATGATAAACATGACCACCGACACCTGGTCAAGCAAGAACGTGCAGGGATGCAGCAAGGGGGACTACCCTCTTGTCCTTATCCTGTATGCCCTATTCCTGGGACCCCCCCCCCTCTGTCATCACTAGGCCCTCCCAATTACCCCAAGGCCCATATAACCTCTCCAGCCATACACTGCCATGCAGTGTCTCATCTCCTCTGCCTGAGGGACAGAAGCCACACTGGGCAAGAGCTGTTGGAAGCTCTTCAGGCCCATGTTGAGAGTTGAGTAACCCTTTGCCACCTGCATCCAGGAAAGGTATTGTATATTAAAGGCACAAACTTGCTGGCCACTCTTTGTCTGGGGAGATTCACACATATGCCTTGCCTGGCCCTAATCTTCAACTTGGAGGTCCAGCACTTTTCTGGGCAATTCCGCAAAATTATAAGACCTGCTACACCAGATCTGGAGGGTTTGCAGACAATTTCACTATTTTCACCTGGCCATGGCTTGCCTGACAGAAATGCAGGAAATACAGCAACTAAACCAGCTGCCCACCAATAGATTAGTTTGGGACACACCAACATGCTGCAATGCGCACCAGGAACAAGCCATTGACTACCTTTGTGACTACAGAATGAAGACTAGCTCTGGGGAAATTGAACTCCTTTCCCCCCAGCAGTGGCTGCTGATCCAGGACGCCTACTTCATTTTGTTCCCTACTTAAGAGGATACAAAAACGGTGAGCCATGAGTAAGCAGGAAAAAGTGACACCATCCCCTTAGCGTTCATACTAGAACACATATTAGCAACACTAATTGTAAACATAAAAATATATAATTCCATTGTCAAAGATTCGCTGCCAAAGTATGCTGTTGATGAGGGTGTCCCCGAAAACTGTACTGTTCTGTAAAACCGCTTTAAGGTATCCTCCATACCTGTACTTTAACAAATGTGGGAGGTATACCCACAAATGTGGGAGGTCCATGGGTGGAAATTTTTTGTGTGCTAAAAATTATATGAATGTATTATTTTTACTGAAAATATAGATTTGATAGACCGTGTCACAACTATCATGCTACATCAAAAAATTGCAACTACTATATTTTTATTCCAAAGGTACTCTGCTTTAAGAAATTATATATTGTTCTGAGAGTTGCAAGTACATTTTTATGTAAAAAATTTGCATTTAAGCATGTGCTTGAAAAATATTATAGTTTGGGAGAACTCATTTTCTTGCCAATAAGAGGCTTAATTAAGGCTTATCAAAATTTGGCCAATTCACTCATCACCACTGATCAGATATTCCTGGCACTGGCTTTATCTAGGGTAAATATTAATCCTCCCCGGAAACCAAATTTCAGATTTTCAGTTCTTGCCCCAAGACTGGTTCACCAGGGCATGTCTACAGATGTCACATAGTATCCATGTATATGGAGTCTTTTCTGGTGATTAGGAAATGATCAGGCAACAATCAAAGTCTATGGGTAAGGGTAACATGTGACTTCTAACTACCTTATTTCTCTCCTGTAGGATGAAAAGCTACCTTATTTCTCTCCTTTAGGATGAAAAGCTGAGGGTTTTAAATTAGAACAGGTTCTTAGCAAAAGGAAAGAGTTGATCTCTATTTGTAGAAATTATATAAAACTATGCATGCAACCTGTCACAACCCCTTTAATCCTTCTTATGGTTTGTGCGCTTTTTTATTTACAAACATGTTTTCATCATATATCTAGGTTTTGTGATAACTGATTTGACAAAAATAATCAGGTGTGCCAGTTCTGTCCTTCCTCTATAACCATTCCTTCTGTATAAAGTGCTCTTTAGATGGGTTGCTGTGACTTACCACTTGGTTACTGTTTGAACTGTTTGACAACTCGCTAAAATTGGATTGAGGCAATGTTAGCACCAACACATTTCTCATATATGGTGGAGAGCTGTTATTTTCATAGTAAATGGGGCTGTGGGAAGAAAAAAAAATTATTGTCAAGACTGAATAATGCCCAAGCTTTTTTACCTACACTGATTTCCGATAATTTGTTCTTTAGATGATTTGTAAAGAATACTATTTCACTTCATTATTTGAAAGTTATCCAAGTTACATAAATTTATATTTGAGCTTTAAATTAAAATAACAGTGGATGTTCACTGAGCACATATTTTGATATATTACTCCAGTGTTTAGTTTAAGCACCTGAAGACTGGGGTGTTAAACCACCCTCCTGTCTATTTTTTTTAGAATTCAGCGCTGAGGTACTTTGACTGACATTTATTAAGTAAT